CGCATGCCATGGCCTCTGGCCTTGAGTGCACTCACTGTGACAGGGTGGGTGGTAGACAGGGCTCCTGTGGTGGGTGCTGCCAAAATGCCACCAGCAAAGACAGCAGAATTCAACCGAGCTGCCAGCCCTGCTCAGTGCTAGGAAGAGTAGGTGGGTTTGTTGAAAATACTCCCATTACAGTTAGTTAACCTTTATGTTCCCTAAATGAAAATTGTATAAACCTGAAATTTCCGTTGATCGGGTTGCCTAGGAACAGGCAGCAGGTTTTCCTAAGACAAAGCAATAGATTGCCACCAATAGGGCTGTTAGGAAGTGAGCTGGTTAGCAGCATTATTCCCATCCTGGTGTCAGCCTTAGGTAATTATCTGCCTGCCTGCTCAGGGCACGCCCATCTTCCTGTGCTGGGGCAGCTCCCTGCAAAGGAGACTTCTCAGCCTTCAGCTCCCGGGATGGGGGCGCAAAGGCAGGGCCTAGAGCTAATCACCATGTTTGAGCTATGAGAAGAAATCTAAAAGGCCTGATGTGGTTGAATTTATTTCTTTTTAGTCTTTCTCCACCTACATGCAAGAGGAATCCCCCAATAACCCTATTGATAACAGACTGTTGCATTGTTTTATGAAAACATGCAGCCACTACATGGTAGGAGACTTGGAAAATAAACAGTAACAAAATACGCCGTAATTTTTTAAGCTGCCCTCAGACAACTTTGGTAGATCGTTTAAATATTTTTAATACAGTATACACACTTGTTTTTTTTTTTTTTCTCCACAGAGTCAGTGTTTTTATGTTTATCTTCCTACAGTTAGGGTAACTAGTGTCCTGGTCTGCCTGGGACCTAGGAGGACTCCAATACTAGTACCTCATGGCCAGTGTTTCGGTGGCACTCAAACAAACTTCACTTCATCAGTTCCCTGTTAGTTCTCTTGTTTGTTTGGATTTTTTTTTTTTTATCTGTGTGGGCATGTGTGTATGTGTGTGTGGTTTTTCTGAGACAGGGTTTCTCTGTAGTATCCTTGGCTGACCTGGAACTCGCACTGTAGACCAGGCTGGCCTCAAACTCAGAGATCCACCTGCTTCTGCCTCCTGAGTGCTGGGATTAAAAACGTGTGTCACTATGCCCGTCCTTAAGGATGTATTTTATTTTATGTATATCAGTGTTTTTGCCTGCATATATGTCTGTACCGCATGTGTGCCTTGTACCTGCAGAGGTCAGAAAAGGGAGTTGGATCCCCTGGAACGAATTATGGATGGTTGTAAGTTACCATGTGGGTGCTGGGATTCAAACCCAGGTCCTCTTCAAGAACAAGTGCTCTTAACTGTTGAGCCATCTTTCTAGTCCCCATCCTGTTACTTTTTTTTTTACTCTGTATGTGTGTGCCTGTCTGTCTGTCTGGTCTGTGTGTTTCCCTGCCACACATGGGAAAATTAGAGTACAACTTGTGTAAGTTCTCTTTTGTTACATGTGGGTTCCAGAGGCAGCACTCAGGTAGTCCAGCTTGGTGGCAAGAGCCTTTATATAATGAATCATCTCATCTCACCAGCCCCAATCCCTGTTGGATTATTTTTGTTGTTGTTGTTGTTGTTATTCCTGGCAAACAGCCCCATTCATAGACCCTCACAGTACAAATTCCTACATGTAGGATTATTAGATCAAAAGATGAGATCGTAGCAGGTTTTTATATATTGTCAGTTCCCCTTCAAGAAAATCAAAGTGCTGATTTCTGCCTGTTGTGGATTGAATATGAATTGTGCCCTACAGCTCATAAATTTGAATACTTATTCCCCAACTGGCAATACTTTGGGGGAACCTTTGGGGGATAGAGCCTCTCTGGAGGCAGTCTGTCAGTAGGGGCAAGCCTTCAGTTGTTTTGCTTTGTTTTTGTGTTATAGTTTCTTTTTAGTGTGTGTCTGTCTGGGGTGAGGTGCACTTGTGTACACGCACACACGCACAGACATGCACACACAGATGCCAGATATCCTAGAGCTGAAGTTACAGGAAACTGAGCTGCCTGGACTCAAAATTCAGTCCTCTGGAAGGGCAGTGTACACTTTTTTTTTTTTTTTTTTGAGACAGAATCTCACTATGTAGCCCTGGCTGTCCTGGAACTCACTCTGTAGACCAGGCTAGCCTCAGACCTACAGAGATCCATCCGCCTGCCTCTGTCTCCCAAGTGCTGGGTAAAAGACTTGCACCATCACGCCCAGTTCACGATCAATACACACCCTTAACCACTGAGCCTCTCCAGCCTCCAAGTCTTAATGTTTGTATACCCTAGCCCCTCTTTTTGCTTGCTTTTTGCTTCCTGGCTACAGAGGACATGTGGCTGGCCACCTCACAACTCCAGCCATGCCTTCCTCCACCAAACCATGAGCCAAAGTAAATCTTTATTCGCTTAAATTGCTTCTTGTCAGGTATATAGTGACAATATTGGGGAAAGCAATGCACAGCCCTCCTTTCCCCATACTCTCAGGACCCTTACTTCCAGCAGCGCTGTCCTCAATGCCCATCAAATAGACAAAAACACATCCTGTGTGCACACCCCGCAGCACATGTGTGAGGGTCAGAGGGCCACGGTGGCTGTCAATCCTTGCCCTCCTACCTCATCTGAAACACAGAATCTGTGATTTTCCCCCATGTGCTCCTGTGTTTTCTGGCCCACAAGCTTCCAGGGATTCTCCCATCTCCTCTGAGGACTGCTGGGATTATAGATGTTCAAACTACACATCCAGTGCTTCCATGAGCTCTAGACATTTGAACTCGGGTCTTCATGCCTGTGTGGCACGTGTCTTCACCCTCCAAACCATCTTCCCAGTCCCCCAAAATATTTTATTTTGAAGAAGATATGTGCTTCTTTATTAACGGCTTGTGAGCTGCCTGTTTGTGTCTTTTATCTAGTTTTCTTTCACCTTGCTCATTTCTTCTAATCCTCAAAAAAAAATCTTTATAATAAACATATCCGTCATGCACACTGAGTTATTTTTGTTCATTCTTAAAGACATTTGCAGTTAACATTCTCTCTCTCTCTGTCTCTCTCTTGCTCTCTCTCTCTCTGTCTCTCTCTCTCTCTCTCTCTCTCTGTCTCTCTCTCTCTCTCTCTCTCTCTGTGTGTGTGTGTGTGTGCATGTGCGTGCATCAAGACAGGGTTTGTGTAGCCCTGGCTGTCCTGGAACTCGCTCTGTAGACCAGGCTGGCCTCAAACTCACAGAGATCCGCCTGCCTCTGCCTATAGCTGCCATTTTAAAAAGCAAGAATAATACCTGTTACATGGTTTCAGAGTTACTATTTTAGGTCAAGTTTTCCCCCTTGATCACTAATTTCTTTTTCTTTTCTTTTTCTTTTTCTTGAAATAAGACCTTGCTACATAACCCAGGCTTTCCTCAAACTTGTAATCCTCCTGCTTCAGCCTCCCTCGTGCTTAGATTACAGGTGCACACCACCACTCCTGGCTTTATAATTTCTACTAAAACTACTAAGGATTTGTAATTGGCGTATCTGGGATTACTGCTATAATTATTACTAAAAAATGCTAAGTATTTTAACTGGAGCATATCTCCGAAATGGATCCTCTGTGCAGGTCCCCTTTTAAGCAATGTGTACTGCACGCAGTTTAGCTCACTCTGGCTGCCTCAGACACGCCATAAGCAACTGTACCCTCCTGTGATACAGCGATGCCCCTGGCAGCTGCCGAGCCACGTGAAGCCTTTGCTCCTCTACCATATGTCCCCAGACTGTTTTAAATAAGATACCCGATTCTTCTTCCTCTGTCACTGTCAGGTTCCCATGCTGTTACTGTTGGCTGCTCGAAGTGCCCTGCTTTGCCCTGCAACAGTCCATCTTTATCAGCAATGGGCTTGATTTACAGCCAACGGTGCTTGTTAAACTCGCCTGTAAACTAAAAGCAAGTAGTGCTGAGCCAGCTCAGGCACTCCCGTTAAACCATGCAGGAGCTTCCACAGCCACAGAATTAGTTACTGCAGTTTCAGGGTTTTTTTTTTATTATTATTATTGCATGTCTTTATTTATGTCGGAGTGCATGTTCTGTGGCGTACATAGAGGTCAGAGGACAACTCTTGAGGGTCAGTTTTCTCCTAGCACCATGTGAGTCCCAGAGAATGAACTCAGGTCATCGGGGTTGACAGAAAGTGACTTGACCCACTGAGCCATCTCCCTGGCCCTGAGGTTGTTGTTTTGTATAAGTCATACTGTTCAGTAAGTGATCTCCATATGCACATGTAAAATGGGATCGAGAGATTTTGGAGGCCGAAGGTAAATGGAAAGATTAGCAGCCATTAAAAGACACAAGTGCTAAATGCAGAAACAGTCATCCATAGGAATAGTGCCTATGTTTGAGCTCGGGACTTCTTTGGGAAGTTTGGTGGTGTGGGTTCCATCGGGATGGCGATGTCACTAGCCTGGTAAATGTGACACCTGGCTTCAAGGCCTTTGCCTGCTGGGGGTGGAATGTGGTATGTTACTTCTGAGCCTCTGGTGTTCAGTGTTCTCATCTGGGAGATGGAGCCAGGACTGATTGCCCTCTCTGTTTCATAAAAGAGGGTCTCTGACGGCCTGATTCGAGGAGTCCCTAGCCTTCAGGACCATCAAGGAATCTGTCTAAAAGGCCAAACAACCATGAAAGATGATTATAATTGCTGCCACTGCTGCTGCTGCTGTTATCCACAGGCCATCCATCAGCTGTCGCCGCCTCTTAGCCATCATGCTTTCTGTACCAGGTTGCAGGCCCATGTGTGTATCTTTAGCTTACGTCCTCGCTGCCCTTCCAGAACCTAATTTCATCCTTGTAGGTTTTTCCAAAGCAGGATTTGCACAAGTGGTGTGGTTTCTTAAATATTTATTTTGCAGGCCATTTACTCAGCACAGCTATTTTTACAGTGAGTAAGGAGCAAAGCTAAAAATAACAGCTCGTAACCCGATCGGCTCTGCGTCTGACATTTACGTGGAATTCATTTGCATCTCATTTGTTCTCCTTTCTGTTTAACAGGTAGAATGTAAGAAAGCTCAGCCGAAAGAAGTCATGTTCCCACCTGGGACAAGAGGCCGGGCCCGGGGGCTGCCCTACACCATGGATGCGTTCATGCTTGGCATGGGGATGCTGGGTGAGTCTGCACAGGTGTGGGACTGGGGGTGAGGGTTGTGGCAGCCTGTACGCCCTACTCAGTCACTTAACAGTCACTAAACTCATCTGCGCTTCAGTTTACCTGCATAAGTTTCAATGAGAGTGATAGGTTCCTCTTTGAGATGGTCATGGCAAGCAGTTGAGCATCTCGACTCATAGATGGCTCAGGGTGTGCTTGAGCCCATTTGTCTGTCCTTCCCCTTCCTCAAACACAAAACAGGACCACCTTTCCCTCTCCATCTCAGCCTTCTTGGCCCAGTGAGAGTTCCTAAGACTTAAGAACTCCTTGCTGGCTTTACTTGTGTGGACTCGGGCTACATTTTTCTAAAACTTAGGAGAGGCACTGAAGGGTGGCAAGGGTGGGCACTAATCCTGTCTATTTAAATGATTAACATTTTTCTCTTGGGATATCAAAATTTGCATTTAAATGGATGTTTTAAATAGCCTGTTTTACTCTTTATTTGCAAAAAAAAAATGATGAAAGACAAAGTGTGTTTGTTCTGACTAAAAATGATCTCTCCTGGCTTTTAGAGAAATTGAGTTGCATATTATGCCCCTTTCCTTAGAGGTATCTCTGTCCGCCCTGCGTAGATAATTGAAAATCTCACCGCTTAAATGGCATGAAAGATGGAGAAAGCAGAGGAGATGCGTAATGGTGTGGGTCGCAACAATAATTAGAAATTTCAAGGCGAGAGAACGGTATTTTAGTGCAAGTTATTGTGTGTCGGGAAAATACTAATTAAATGGGATAAATGGTCGTTAATGGTAAAATTCCATTCAGGCACATGAGCTGTCTAGTTTTAATGGGTTTCCATTGGGCTTGGCTAAGAGTCCTTCTTCTATATTGTGTGATAAGCTCTTTGTATATTTTCAGATTTGCTGCTGTTTAAATCATTCCTGGCTTAGTCTTAAATGTATTAAACTTCCCATGCTCTTACAAAGAATTGTATCTACTCGTCTGAGAAAATAACTTAGGCAGGTAAAGCTATATTGAAAAACTTTAAAGACAAAGAATGGTGCCATTGAGAATATTTTTTTAAATGGCCAATCTATTAATTCTCCTAAGATTAATTTTTTTTAGGCTTAACGGAGTTTACAAGAAAAATCCTATTATAGTTCTTTAGAAACTGCCTTGTGATTTTAAAACTTACCTAGAAGTAGAAACATGAAAGAAAATAAATTTAAAAAAGAGAGAGAGAGAGAGAGAGAGAGAGAGAGAGAGAGAGAATCAGAAAACACCAGTTTGACTATATCCCAAAGCACTGCATAAAGCTACAGTAATTCAAACAATACGGTAGGGTTAGAGTGTAGCCCAGTTAGTAGAGTACTTGCCTCACATACATGAAGTCCCTGCATAAAACTGGGCATGGCGGTGCACACCTGTGAACTCAGCACTTACCACTTGGGAGGTGGAGGCAAGAGGATCAGAAGTTGGTGGCATACTGAGCTCAGAAACTGTCTTGTGGTAGACAGGATCCCTCCTATCTTCTGCTGGCCTGACCCCACTAATTTTCTACTTAACAACAGTGAGGCAGCTGTGTGTATTCAGTAGACACTGCTTTGACTATTGAGTTTGGATTTTTTTTCCAGGCTGGCAGTTTACAGTGCCATACTCCCTGGGGTTGGTGGACAAGGGCAGCTGCTGAGTGGTAGCTTGTCATAGAACAGGCGTGTTCTCTGTCAGGAAGAGAATCAGAGGCAAGTCTGCAGTGTGCTGTCACTTAGCTGTGCAAATGGGAAGGTTAGCTATGGTAAATACACTTTGTCAATCCATGGTAAATTTACCAGGGTGTAACTCAATCATTAGCTATCAGGACACACACTGGATAGAGAAAATTAAAGAGTCTCCATAGTTCTATGTACATGTAAGAGGATATCTGTGCATGGCATTTGCTGCATGCAGGTGGAAGCCACGTGTTTCTCACAGAACTTGAAGCTCTCGAGTTCAGCTAAACTGGCTGGCCAGCAAGCCCCAAGAGTCCTCTTTGCTTCTGTGCCCTGGACTTAAATATGACACCTCCCATTGTTATGTGGCTGCTGAGGAATCAAACTCAGGTCTTCATGCTTGTGTAGCAATCATTTGACCAACCAAGCAATCTCCCCAACCCCATAGTTACTACTTCTAAAGGATTGTTAAAACCCCTAAGAATTATATGATGTTGCTCTACAGCAGACTACTTACCACTTTGTGTATAGATGCCCTCAACTGCCCTCTTGTCCCTGAGGCCCATGGTGCAATGTAGCCCATGGGCCTCTGGCTCTTTAGAGGAAATCAAGACAAAGACTTCATCCTCCCTAACTGCTTTCCTCTTACGGGGTAGTGTGGCCTGGGGTAGTCTCCTCTTTGGGTAGGGTCACCACCTCCATAGGGCATTGATTGCATATCAGTCCTGGGACCCATGCTATTACTGCCCCTAAAAGTTTGGCTGATGAACTTGTCTCCTATAGAAAAGAAAAATTAATTCACTGAAGAGCTAGGCATGGTGGCACACACCCGTAATCCTAGAAAATAGGAGGTAGAAGCGAGAAGATAAACAGTCCAAGGTCATCCTTGGTTACATGGCAAGTCTGAGGCAGCCTGGACTATGTGAAAACCCTGTTGGATGAAAAAACAAACAGGTCACTGTGAATAACCAGATGCAATGATACCCAGCTATAATACTAGCACGAAGGAGGCTGAGGCAAGACCCCAGATCATGACCAGTCTGAGCTACATCATGAAATCCTGCAAAATAAATATTCATTAATGAAGGGAGTTTCTAAGAAGAATATTTAAAAGCAAAAATGTAAGTCACTGAAGTGTTAAAATTTACCCATCCAACATATATTAACCAAGTGCCTACTGTGTGCCAGCGTGAGAACCTTGCTTCCAATCCCAAGGAGCCAGCATGCTGGTCTCATGACTGGGGTACCATGTAACCAATTTTTAAAATACCTTTCAGGATCTTCTCTGTCCTTTGGGAGGTCCCACGAAAGGGGTGCTGATGAGTGTATATGAATATGGCATTCTTTTCTGATCTCTCTATGGCTGCCAACATCCTTGTGGAAAATGCAATGTGTTTTGACTTTAGCTTTCAGAGCCTTTAATAGAATGGAATAAAAAGAGTGTAGGGAGCTGAAGAGGAGGGGTATTGCTCCAAGGCCCCACTTCATACTTCTGAGCCAAACAGAATCAGAAACAACTATGCCATTGGAGAAGGTACTTTTACAACCCCTGGGTCCTGCCCCGTTGTCCACATTCTGTGGGAACACCCGTAGTCATCCAGCCCGATGCTGCAGAATCACCCTAGTTTTTGTTAATGAAAGTGAACTCAGTAAAAGCAAACACATGACTGTTGATGTGTTTGATTTCTCTTGGCTTTCTCTGCCTTCAGCCTCATAATCCCACTGCTTTTAATGCTCTTGGCCTAGTTGGACACATGCTATTTATTAAGCACGTGGTAGAGAGAGAAAAAGCAGTGTTGAAGCCTTGTGGAAAAGCTTCTCTCGGCAGTTGGGGGAGAAGAGAGATGCTGCTGGCCAACTAGTGACTACCCAAAAGCGTTCTAATCTTCTCTTGTCTCAAGAGATCCTTGCAAAACCCTATTACAGTGCTCCCAAACATTGATGCCTTCTAAATTGAATGCAATAAATAAATAATAAATAAAATCAATCATTGTTGCAAGGGCCTGGGGAGCCATGATCTGCTGATACACACTCCAGATCAGGAGATGGGTAGAGCCCACAGCTTGCCTTCCTGGAGGTGTCTAGAGACCCTGCTGGAATTTATCTTTCCCCCCAAATACCTGTTTGTCCTAAGGAGGGCTCCATTTGTGCACCTGTTTCTTGGTAGACAGAAGCAGCCCAGAGTCCAGCTGTGCCTTGCCCCTCTGGAGCAATGGATCCAGAGAGACTTCTGTGCCTATGAGACCATCCTTTATCTGCTTGCCAGTTTCTTGTGCATGTCAGCCCTTGAGCATTTGTGATGGGGCCCAGGCCCCTAAGGAACTGAAGGTTTCCTTTCAGATAGTTTTCATTAAGGTTAAACTAGTGTAGGTGGGAGGCCCTATGACTTGGGAGGATTCTTGGGCTGTGTGACTTTATAAACTGGCTCTCACATCCTTGCCTACAAAGGGCTCTTGGTGCTTGCTTAACCTTGTGGAGCTATGGTGGGAGCCCCAGGCCGTGCTGCACAAGTAGCAGACACTCACTGAGCCCTCTGGATAAATGGCCCTTCTTGCTTGTCTCTTTGAAGTCAAGGGCCTGGGAAGAGCCTCTTTTCAGTGTACTAGGTGTTTGGATAAGAGCCTAGATGAGCCATGACCCATCTAAGATGCAGGCATCTCTATGTTAGGAGCAATGATCTAAAGCCACCGTTTTGAGACACCTGTGAGCATCCCAAGGAGGGGGGACGCAGAAAACTTTCCAGCATACCCGAGTCCTATTGTTCACTTTCTGACTTGTGCAACCACAATGGGAAGCCTGGGTGTGAGGAAGGTGGTCATCCAGGCAGAAGGCTTGATTTTTTTTTCCTTTAGTGACAAGAGATAATTACTGTGGGATTGATCAGGCATCCAGAGTACTGGAGCAAATAAATTGTTCAGTGGCCAGTGTGGGAGGGGCCCAGCTGCTAATGGAAGTGGTGGCTGGGTCATCCTGCTGTAATGTGGCTTGATGGAGCGTTCGCATGGGTCTACTGTAATGTGCTATTGATATGCAGCCAGCCAGTTTCCCCCGTGCGGCCTGGGCCCTGAGCCACTGGAGCAGAGCTGGGCTGCACAGCCGCAAATGAAGAGGAAAATTGAAGTAATGTTGTATTATAAATTTATAATTTCATCTGCCTGACAGAGGCTGTTCAGTATTGGGGGTATGGAGATGAGATCCCCCAGCGTGGCAGGTGTGGAATTTTCATCTTCCTTCCTTGGGCGATGATAATATTGACCTATCCGGAAGAACAGAGTGAGGCCCAAAGTTTGTGTGTACCTGACTGTACGTTTCTTCTTTCGTGTTGAAGACTTTAGGATCTGCGTGCAGGAAAATACATGCAATCGGGCCATACAGATGGCTTGAGTTCCAGGAGGAACTAGCCATTCTACTGCTGCTCACCTACATACAGGGAAAATGATGCATGGGCTTTTGCTCTTGCTGTCAAATTAACACTTCAAATTTAGGACCCTGCTCTGAAGTTAGTGGCAAAAGAGCCATTTTTCTTCAGGAAAGCCCCTAGGCAGTAGTGATTTGACCATTTGCCTATAATCCATTTATCAATATTGTTGAAATAGTGCTATAAGAAATCTAGCCTTGAAAGATCTGATTTGATAGTGGGTGATTAATTTAGAGGAAAATTGAGCTGCTCAGCCAGGAAATAAATTCCAGAGGACAGTCCATTGCGCATGCGTTCCATCAAGGTCTCTGAGGTCCGGCCTCTGCTCTGTGCTCTCTCTCTCTCTCTCTCTCTCTCTCTCTCTCTCTCTCTCTCTCTCTCTCCTTCCCTCCCTCCCTCCCTCCCTCCCTCCCTCTCTCTCCTGCCCCTCTGAAACCAGTAGGTATAAAGTTGCTGAGCCATTTTGTCTTGCCTTACAGCCTTCTGCCAATGGGGCATCATGAGGTGCCACCTGGCACCTCTGGATGCTGGATTGTCCTGCTGATGCCAGAGTAAACACTTAGAGCCCAGATGAAGTAGAGATAGCCCAGTTGGCCAGTGCGTTTGGTGGGACTGCGTGTGTGGGAAGGCTTCAGCTGTAGCAAGCAGCTGGTCATTGCTGAGAATTTGGGCATACCAGTGCTGTAGGTGACCTGCAAGGCTTCTTACCTGTGGCAAGAAAGACCCCACCTCTAAGAGAAAGGGGGAAACCCCTGACTTAGGTCAGAGTCATGTGACAGAATCCCATAGGTCTTAATCAGCTTTTGAATTGACATCCACTTCTCAGTCCCGAATGCTAAAAAATCTATAATCAAGGCACTTGTGGAGCCCTGCAAGGTCTAACTTGGGTCTCTGAGGCACAAACCACTGACTGGCAGTGAGGAAAGCTCCAAACCCTGACTAATAATGGTGAGGAGAGGAGAATAGAAACATGGTGAGCAGACCTCTGCCCGCAGCCCTGCCTTGCAAGGTCAGAATGGGCTTGGTATGAGACTCCATGGGGAGGTGGATAATGAGCCCCCAGAGCTGGGCTTAGGGGTATCGTGCTGCCAGGAGAACAGAAACAGGTTGAGTGGCCACTGCCCCCAGTCTTCTGGAAAGCCTGGGGCCTGTCTTAAGTCTGCGTCTGTAGCGACTGTCTACAGTCTTTTTGGCAGCCACACGGAGTATAGATTATTATGTGGAGTGGTGATGCTCCGAATTAACAGGAAGCCTGAGGAACAGAACCTGGAAAGCAGACAGGAGCTTAGAAAGCTGAGCTGTCAGAGTTCCAGCTGCCAGCCAACGGGGCAACCCGGGAATGGCCTGTTCAGAGGGCCTCTGGGTGCTGGATTGTCCTGCTGATGCCAGAGTAAACACTTAGAGTCACCTGCCCACCCTCTGTCCACTGGCTCTAGATGCAGGTCCCTGTGAAGGTTTGCATTGGCCTGCCTCCCAGGCAGAGGCAGAGTTCATTCAAGTGCTGGCCGAACTGACACCCACCAGACAGCCACCTCAGAGGCCAGAGCTGAGAGCTAGCCAATGTGCTGGTAAGAGACTGAGGTGACATTTTTGGAGTTTGATTGTACTGAGCTAATCCACACTGGGTGGAAGGGGCCAGAATAGGTCTCTGGGGACAAGGACAGAAGGTAGCTATAGAGCTGCTGTGACCAAGGAAATTACAGTACAAGAAGGCTCCAACCACCTTCACTATAGTCACAATCAGGACAGGGATGTGAATAGTGAGGTGGACAGCGCTGAAGTGACCTCTTAAGTGGGAGATTGCTTCAAAGATTGAAGCAGGTTCACCCCCTCCACGACTCAGAAGAGGGCTCTCAGCACCCCGCAGTTAAGATCACCCTAGGTCACCAGCTGCAAAAGGTCAGGACAAACCATGAATTGTCCATGAAAACTCTGCACCCAGCCTTCAGAGCACAGCTGGGGTTTCATGGTACATGTATTCACACAGTCCCTCTGGCTCTTTTGAAGACACACTTCTGTGCAGTGTCTGTGCTGGGACATGGCCCCACCTCCCCCAGCCTTGGCTTGCTAAGCTGAGAGGCAGCCCTCTGTGTGGCTGCTAAACTGCCAATCCCAGAGTACCCCTGCCCCGTGTGGTACTCTGGCTCCTGTCCACTGCTTTGGAAGAAGGCAGTACAAGGACTTTAATCTCCTACTGTCAACATCCTTAAGGTAAAGTACATTCAGGGTAAGCTCTCCAAATGTCAGAGCCAGACGCAGGCACTGTGTTCCTTCCTCTGTGTGGCATTTACTCTACAGGCTGGTGAATGTACCTGAGCTTTGGGCAGTCTGGCTGCCTAAATACGGGTTAATTATAAACATCCCGATGGTCACACCTCTAGCCGTGGGAGAGAGGGGATCCAGGGCCTGGGTAGAGACCCTCCCCAGAGACATAACAGTCTGTGAGAATAACCACTGCTGATGTTCACTGCCACCTTCCCTGAAATATCACCCCAGATCCAAGGCCACTGTCTGATGCCTCGTTCTTTCTTTCTGTGTTCAAGGCTACCCCAACTTTGTGGCAACCTATGGCCGAGGCTACCCCGGATTCGCTCCTAGCTATGGCTACCAGTTCCCAGGTGAGTGGCCTAGATGCTGGGGTTTTGGAATTTTGGGAGGTGGGCTGCACCTGGAGGGTAGCAGAGAGATGCTCCAAAAGAGAACACAGTTGGCATACCTGTGTGTGCAATCTTCCAAACCCCTCTGGTCCAGGGTCAGGGAATATATAGTTGGGGCTTTCCAATGGACTAGATTGTTTCCTTGAGGCTGGTGGCAAAATGGGAGGAGAAAAGCGGTGGGAAACCCCTTCTGCTCAAGTCCTTTGTCCCCAAGCCTGTTCTCAGTCTTCTCCTACGGGATTAACTTCAGGCCCAGGGCTTGTTGCATCCACCATCCTTGCTGCCTGCTGCTCTCCACATCTACCTGTCTAATGGCTCCCAGCCTGCCTCCCCTTCCTCCTTTCCTCTAACCCGCCTGACTGCCCTGACATCGGGCTTTTCTGGAGTATGTTGGCGAGGCTGCAGGGGTCAGATTTGTGCTTTGTTTCCTGAATGAGCTGTGCAGATTCTCACTCTACCCTGCATAGCTAGCAGAGCATGGCCCCCCACATGTCCTGGTGCTTCTGTTCTTAGGGAGCTAGTGGGCGTTGTCTGGGGGAAATGGGGAGGACGCTGCAGGAAGTGATGCTTTGGGGTGTCGTTGCTCTTTGTGAGGTAAACTTCCTCACAGTCAAGCAGTACAGATGAGATTATATTAGGTTGCCAGGTGTGTCAGAGTCAATGTGGCCAGAGCTGATGTAAAGGAAATCTGTGCTCCATGGTTCTCCGTGGATGGGTGGGGGTGGGGGGCTACACTTAATGGCTGTACTTGGGGTTGTCACATCTCTACTTGAAGACCTAGGAGAAGTGGTGAGTAGAAGGCACAGAAAGCTGGCCTGAGGGAAGGCTGTCTGAGCCTGGGGAACAAGAGGGTGGAGGAGAGGTCTAAGGTTAGCACTGGCCTCAGCTCAGGCTGTGAGATGGTGACAGAAGATGTGTAGGGCTGTGTCCCATGATTCTGGCCAACACTGGAAACCTAGACACTTACCCTGGCTCTGGTACCAGTTGGACAAGTAGCTCGCTTCTGGGCCTCATCTGTCTTGTCTGTGAATGGATGTTGACTGGGACCTTTGAAAGACAATGATTGCATGTCTCTGACTATGGAGTCAAGCAGAAGGGACATAGATAGAGCTACAGAAATTCAAGGTAGAACAATGAGTGGAGTGGCTTCCCTGGGACCTAGCAGTTCCCCCATCTGGGAGATGCTGTCAGCAAGGACCCTGCCTGGGTGGGCCCTCTCCACAGCCTCTCTTGTAATAGCTTGTGCTCCTGGACCTGAAGGACAGAATCTATATTCCGGCTAGAACTGTTCCTAGTTCATCCCCACTACAGGTGGAGATCCCAAGGCACAGAAACAGAGTCACATGAATAAGGGGCAGCAATTAGCCCAGGCAACCTGAGTCCTAACTCAGGTTGGGATGCTCACTATTAGCCAGCATCCACTTGTCAACCAGGTACCATTGGCCACTACAATTTATATCTGTAGTAACTAAAATTCAGGAGAAAGGAAAAGCTGAGTTTTACATTCACACTGGCCACATCCCAGTGGCTCAGCAGCCACATGAGACTGGGGGCTGATCTCAGAGTGGAAAATAGTGTATTTCCTTCCCACTGAGGGTTCTGTTGCTCGGTGTTGTTCCAGAAATTAAAAGATGGGATGTGGTACTCTAAAGAGGTGTATATGCAGAGCTGGAGGGACACAATGTGAAATACTTTGGGGACAATGAAGTGGACCCCATGCTAAGACCCCTGTCTTGTCTGAACCAGTTCAGGAAGCATCTAGTAGTGCTCTGATTCTATGGCTCGAATCCGTGGGTCTGCCATAGACAGGCAGACAGACAGACATGCCTGCATGGCCTACCTGAGGCTGGGCAAACTGAGGTGGTTTTCCTCAGATGCTTGGCCCCTTCTGGGAAGTCAAGGCTTTGATTAGGGGTAGGTACAATGTCTATGCCTGTTCATCTTCATCATGGCACCAACTCCTTAACTGTGGCCAGTCACTGGGGTTAAATGGGGGTAGAAAACAGCTTTGAAGGCAGTCCATTCTCAGCCACCAAACTTTGATTCCTGTTCATTTGTAGCCACACTTTGAAGCCTCTTAGATTCTCTTAACCCGTGACCAGAGAGGGACAACTGTCTGTCTGCAGCTGAGGAAGTGTGAGCCACCCAGCCTTTATCTTAGTATGTCAGGAGCCAGGATGAGGTCAAAGCTCACCCCACTCCTGACCCTGGCTCCTTGGAGTTGCTCTTCATGGAGCATCAGCCCCCATCTACTTATTCTAACACACTGCCAAGCCCCAGGTGGTTCTAGACACAAAACCTAGGCTGGCTCCTCCATCCCTCCAGTCATGAGTTCAGGGTGTGGTCAGTCTCCCTCTAGAATCAAACTTGACATTGTCATGGAGCTTAAGACTTAGTGAGCCTCTAGGGCACAGGAGCTTTAAGGAGTTCTGACTTGGATCCTTGTCTCATGCCTTAGGGAATACTTGAGGTGGGTGTAGCTAAGGCAGCAGTGGGGCTGCAGAATGGTGCTCCATAAGTGGGCAGCCCAGTACACTGCCTTCTCCTCACCTGCTCTGGGTGTTGTGTAGAGCAGGTCCCATGCCCTGGTGCTCGATCCTGGCACTATTTGACATTGGCACAGCTCTCCTCACTGCCAAATTGTCCTGATGGTTTTCTTTGTGGTCTCAATGGCTATACCCTATGCCCACTTCCCATTTCTAGCCCCTCTGAGGTCATGCGAGAGTCCCACACTCCTCCTAGGCCTTCTGAGTCCATCATAGAGGAATCCTAGGAGAGAGATGGCAGCCCACCCAGGTTTTCAAACCATACCCTTCACTCACTAGCAGGAACCTGGGTCCTCAGGACACAGGAACCTTAGCCCCTTCCAAGGTGTTCTTTGCACACGTCTTTACCTTTACATCCATCTCAACTGATTGGAGTCCGGGTCTCACCCAACCTCTATGATATGTAGACCCAGCAGACCTCCCTGGGTCACAAGCTGTGTTAAACAGGTTTGACCCCTCTGCAGCCACCTTCAAGGTTCTTTGAGAAAAGACGAAATGCGGTGTCAGTATTGAGGTTGGGGCTCTTTCCTGGGAAGGCTAAGGGTAGCACTTTGCAAATGGCTCCTGCCTCTCATGCTCAGGGGTCTTCCCTTGCCCTGTAGTCTCATCAGTGTTGAATCTGGAACTGTGGTCCTATCATCGGTGGTCTGCCTGCTTCCTTGCAGCATCCCCTTCTGGGCTTCTCTTCTGTTTACTCCGTTAACTAGTAACTCTAGTTCTATTTTACTTTTCAAACTATTTGCTGATTTTGATTCATGAGATGTAATTGTTATCAAACAAGCTCAAGCTCTTAAAAGAGGCATCACAAGCGGGGGTTTGCTGTCATTTCTAGAGAGTGCACACTCCTGCCAGAGCCACCCAACTGCTGGCAGGGCCCACTGAAATCTGTCCTGTCTGGCTGATTGAGTGAATGAACATGATTTTTCCTGTTTTAAATTCAGGAAAAGACCTCGTTGTTTTGCTTTATTTTGTTTCAGAAAACTATGCTCCAGCTCCAACACACACACTTTGCTTCCTGAATGCATTGTAGCTAGGCATGTACACACACACACACACACACGCACACACACACACACACACACGGGCACACACGGGCACACACGGGCACACACGGGCACACACAGGCACATATGCACACAACTCCCCAGAATGTAGGAAACTGCTCACAGACTTTGTAGGGATTCCTCGGAGGGATCCTGGAGATGCTGTCTTTTTAGAACAATGATCAAGCAGGCTTGCTGGGCGTCTCACAGTGCAAGGGGTGAGCTTTTAAGTGCTGGTGGCCCAGAGGGGTTGGAGCTGTGTGATCTGGAGGGAGCACCTGTGTGAGCACACACACACACACACACACACACACACACACACACATGGAAGATGGGATCTGAATGAGCAGCTGTACAAACATTTTTCATTGCCCTTGTCCTTTGGGGCCGCTCTCTTAGTGGCTATTGCCACAATACATTCATCTGTCTTTGAGAAGGGACAGCAGAGTCTCCCTGACCCTGCCACTTCTTTCACCCATGGGCACAGATCCCTACTGGGCACCCCTTCCCTAACCACTACCCTACCTGTGTGTCTTACCCCTACCCCATGGCACCACCAGGGTGGGAAGGGACAGGACAACTGCGACCATCCAAATCAGGCTATATCTCAGGGCTAACATCCTGACAGCCACCTCTACCCAGAAGGATCTTGTCATGCTGACCCTATCCACTTCCCTCTTTGAAATGTCCCTACCCTCTTGAGCTAGTAATGGCGGTTCATTTGCACCAGCAAAAGCCAGAGTTTGTAGGCAGTGACCTGTTTGGCTCTGTTTGATTCACCAAGTGTAAGTGTTATTCTTTTGTTTAAAAAGAAGAAAAGAGAAATGCTGAGACATGAGACATGTTGACTATAAGTTTATTATAAGGCCCGGCAGAGTAGGGAGACTAAGAAGAGGAGAAGAACAGGGTAAATGTCTGACTGCCATGGCCGGTCGCTGCAGAGAGAGCGCATAGGTGAGAGAGAGAGTAGAGAGGAAACAGAGGAAGCAGAGAGAGTAAATGGGCAGGGATCTGTCTTTTTAAAGGGGCCCTCTGCACCTGCGTACAGACTTAGTTCCCATGGAACATTGGGCTGACCAGGGTACTGCCTGTTCCACCAGGTAACAGGGGCAGGCCAGCATAATACCTGAACCTTTCAGTGAGCAGCTCTGGACATTGCGATATCAGTGTCCTTGGTGTTCATAGAGCGAGTGAGTGTGGCGGGAGGTCTGTGCAGTTTGGCTCCTCTTGTTAAAGATAACTGATGCAACAATTGCCTAGTTCCCTTTCATTTTCCTTCGGGCTTTTTCATGAGTGGTAGTGGTGGCTGCTCTTCAAAAACAAAACAAAACTTGTAGGCTTTCCCCTCTCGCTATGACCTTGGCTTCTGTGA